TCTGAGTATCTGACAGCCATTGACTGAAATATAGCCCACTTCAATCTCCGATTCTGAATTAATATTTGATTGAGATATATTACAAGCAATTGTATTGTAATAGGCGTACGGGCTCGATGACAGTTAGGGGGGCAGAACCCGAAATGCCCGAAAAAATTTTGGGTTTAAAGACAGCGTCGCCGGTCTTCCTCAAGAGGCGAAGAAGCAGAGCTTACCTTGTATGACCCCCCCCCCCCAAGAAAATTTTGGTATATTTGACGGCTGCAAACACATTTTCCTGCTATTTCAGCCTGTGAACAAAGCAACTTCAAAGTGGACTATTATAGCCTAATTAAGATGGCGGACTCGAATTCCAATCAAAAGATCAATCATTTACAGTCCACGAAGACAGAATTTCAATTTGGTCCAGTATAGCCCACCTGGCTGACCCGAATTCCAAACAACCAATCAATCGTCGCGGGGTATGGGGGCCTCACCTTCATGGAGAAAATTTTGAAAATTTAACCAACGCATGTGCGTTTTCTGCTATTCTAGCCCATGTAAGCAACTCCAAAAGTATCCAATGGTTTTGTAACCGAAATCCCATTCTGAATTCCAACCATCAAATCAGACTGTTGCAGCTGCATTCACAAATAATAATCGATGCCCGAAAATTGTCGCACAAATTCGTGGTAATCAATTAAAAGCTAAGTAAAATTAGTGTTTTATTAAGGCTCGATGACAGTAAGGGAAGCAAAATGTAAGGGAGACACACGCGGAAAAAATATCACTCTGACATCACGCATCCAGGGATTTTCCATCAACGAGAATTGCTACGGGTCACTTCACTGGTGAATCTGTGACTTAGTTTCTGGGTGATTTCAATATATATATATAGAGCCAATCAAATGATAGATAACATTTTTATGATTATTATGATGCGTGATACCCCGAGATCTGGCAATTACAGCTGTAGAAAACAAGATTTATCTGTTTTGCTGACTGAAATTTGCTAAATATCGACTAAATATAGCCTACTTTTTTGTGGTATCATCCAGATTATAAATATTTGACATATTATCATTCAAATTATTACGATTTTAAAATAATCTTAGCTGACAATAACATGCAGATTTCAGTTTTAAAATTGGTACTAGTAATTCTGAAGGGAAAATACCGCTTATGAAGTCACTCAGATATGACTGAAAAGCACTTATTTCGGTGCCATGTCACGCATCGACTGGTATAGAGCATATTGATTACATTATTGACGTCGATCTCCGATTTTAAAATTCGATAACTTTGGATCTAATTAGAATATTTTGATGAAATAAAAAAATTGGGTAGCATTTTATGTATATTTTCACCAAATATTTTTTAAAAAATTTATTCTGTCATTTGAAACTTTGACGTCGATCTCGGATTTTAAAATTTGATAACTTTGGATCTAAAATTTATTCTGTCATTTGAAACTTTGATGTCGATCTCGGATTTTAAAATTCGATAACTTTGGATCTAATTAGAATATTTTGATGAAATAACAAAAATTGGGTAGCATTTTATGTATATTTTCACAAAATATTTTTAAAAAAAATTTATTCTGTCATTTGAAACTTTGACCTGAAACCCTTATAGATACTAAGATAGTAGCGCCCATGCGAATATTTAAGTAACGACCGGCGCCACCACTAGAGGGCTCAGACAGTGTTATGCACAGCTATGGACGATTTTCAACCCCACTCCATCTGTTTTTGGGTCATATTTTCGCCGAGCTAGTACAGACTTTCCTAACGGAGTTTGGATCGGAAACCGAGTGATTCTCTTAGAGAATATCCAAGCGTGTCTGAAAAAATGGTTAACGGCGGTTGACATGCGGTAAGTTGACTTTTAATAAATTGTTGAAGTTTTCTTTTTTATTGAAATTGTCTGATACGCGCTGATACGCTCAAAGTTTTACTTACAATTATGAAAATAAACACTAAATTAGTGATCTAAACTATTGCTGAGGACGGAAACACCCGTGGAAAGTGGCAATTCCTGGAAATTGGCACCGTGTCGGATTCCAAAGGGATGCAACTCCATCACAATACGGGTACAGACCACAGTTAATACCTCAACTGACTTTGACAAAATAAATGTTGCTTGTCGTTCAGTATGTATAATTAGATTTTTAAGTGTAATTTAAAATGCAGATGCAATTTTTGAAAATTGAATTAATACAGTCCATTATAGTTGACAGCATTTAGTGTTCCATAATGCTTGGGAAGAAAATATGTTTACCTGTTGCATATAGGTATTAATTTAATTTTGCAGGATTGTGTATTTATGAATGATGAGTGTGAGATTAAAATATATAGATTAATAAATCATAAATACATGAATATAGAGTTTGGTATGCATAATAATATTGCTGTGCTAGCTATATAAACTTTTAATTGACATAATGTTTTAAAATCTTTTGTATTTTCAGTAGTATGGTAGACCTGCGTTTTGGTACCTAGGGGAGTGTCAGCTTGGTATCAGCTTTGGAAGAAAAGTATATATTTCATGTCAATTTATTTAATACAATTAGCTTGATAAATAAATATGATCCTGATTGATAAATAATGTGTTTGTTTTTTTTAATTTTTTGGCAGGATAGCATTTTTTTTTTTTTTGGGGGGGGGGGGGGGGTGTAATATTTTCATTTTATTTTTATTCTTAGTTTATTCTTATTCTGTTTTGAATACTTTACTACGAAGTTTTGTTTTTAAATATTTTGAGATAATATTGTATCATTATTGATTATGTTTATGTTTAGTTAAAGTTACTATTTAATTTTCTGTATCGGTGTTTCAAACCTCAAAAAAATAAACTATTCAATGTATGTGTCATGTGCTTGTATGACTGTGTTGATACATAAATAAGCTTCATTTTTGTTAAATAATTATGTCTCTAGCTCTTTTCGTTTCTCAGATATGGAGTGGGGCTGAAAATCGAAGCAAAATGGCTGATTTCGCGAAAAGGGGGGGTCTGTCAGTTGGTGTTAACTAAACGGACAGCAACTCCGTCAATTCTGCTCCGATTTTTAACAAATTGGTGTTGTTACAATGCTGAGATATACAGCTTTGGGAAAATAATAGTGTTATAGACAACAAATTAATATTTAAAAATAGCTGCTTGTAGCTAGTTCAAGTTTACGTAATTATTTAATCTTCTGTACGGTTATTGCAAACATTAGAAAATAAACATCTCAACCTATGTGTAATGGGTTTGCATGATTGTGTTGGTGCGTAAATTAGCTTTATTATGGTGAAATAATTATGTCTCTAGGACTTTTGGTTTCTGAGATATGAAGTGGGGTTGAAAATTGAAGCAAAATGGCCAATTTTGCGAACAAGGGGTCTGCCAGTTTGCGTTACTAAATAGGCAGTAACTCAGTCAATTCTGCTAAGATTTTCATAAACTTGGTGTTGTTACAATACTAAGATGTACAGCTTTCGGAAAATAACAAGCTTCTAAAGAAGAAAATAATACTTAAAAATAGCTGCCGGTCGCTAATTTAAGGTTGATAAGTTTGGGACCAAAAATTCAACTCACCATTACGATGTCATCACCGTTAATTGTTGATGTTTACAACTGACCTCTATAGATCATACAAGTTGATATAACGTATCAATAAACGACTACTCGTGATGTAAACAGACAGCGTATATCGCATGAAGTGAGATCACACAAAGAAAACTGCCTTTCTTCACTATCCCATGTTCATTTCCGGAACAAGTTTGCGATAGTTGTATAATGAAATGAAATGTGGATCTATCCAACACGAATAACTCATAATGTTACAAGCTTGACAGCATTAGGCCACAAATCACTAATTATTTCCCCCATTGACTTTAATGTTAATTCTCGTCTCTTAGACCGTCTCTAACTTTTCCCCAAATTTTCGTTGGGTAGAACGCTTTCTGCCACAGATGAAGCAATATGTGGCAAACTCTTGCCCAAAAGCATGTTTGAGGTTCACCGTAGAAAACTTGAAATACACAAGCTGGAAGTAGAGGTAAGTAAACATGCAATTTTCCGCCCTACATTTCAACGTAACCAACCTCACAACTCTTGTATCCTTCCGCCTCAAATTCATGAATATTCACCAAAACCTGTCAGAAAATGTATTTACAAACCCTTTTCATCGATTCTACACCAAAAAATCAACAAAAATCACCATGCAAAGGGGGAAAAAGGGAAAGGGAGAGAAAGACTAAAAATAACTTTCGCCCTACATTCGGCGACGGGGTAGAAATATTTGGTGAGCTGTGTCCTATAAAGCTATTTCGTGCACACATGACGGAAAGTAATAACATATCCGTCCGCACATGATAGGAAGTAGTTATATTTATATCTGAAGAAACTTGTTATGTCTGCTGGGTTAGATCTATTTTGCAAGTGAGGTGGTCTCGGCACGGTGCGTTTAAATTTCTGTAGTGTAAACGTTATCCGGTCTGTGAATATTAGCCTGGATGCGTTGTCAACATTTGAGAATTATAGGTCTTTGTCTAGATTATCCGGTCTTTTACATTACCACCATAATTGTTTTCATCTGGATAATTTGCATAGGGATCGAAATTAAATTTCCTGTGAAGAGTTCCACATTTGGTATGTCTAGTACGATTCCCAGACCGGTTAATTTCGAGTAATGTAAACGGGTCCATTTTGCGGCTAAGTGTAAATGGGGCATAAGTTCCATCAAAATTGGATCGAAATTGTGACTTCTGGAGTGTGCACAAGCTAAAAACGTGATGTTTCGTACAATCAGGGGTCATAATCCATGAAGTTACAGTCCAATACATGCCAATATCGACAGAGGCCTCCGGTTTCCTCCCACTGCTAAAGACCCCTACGCGCAAGCGAATTATGTAAATAAAATTAAACCATATGTTAGTCCCGAAATGACGTAGTTTGTGTCAAGTCAGCTCCAACAGGGCTATATTGCGCCAAACATGGTGAATTTAACGAGACAAATTAAAACAATATCACAAAGATGTATTTATATATGTAAATAAAACAAATATCAAATCCTTTACAGATATAAATATTTAAAACACAACTCATGATACAATATATACAATTAAAATTTATTATAAAAATTTGTAGCCTTTAAAAATGTTGGGGATCACGTGGCTAAGTGGGTAAGACGCTAGCTCGCTAGCCTGGAGGTCGGGTGTTCGATCCCTGCATTGGCCGAGAAAGTTCATCCAGATTTTCCGGCGTGGTTCTCCCTTGTCAGTGATGCAGGACGGAGGGGCTGACAAGGAAAGCTGTCTAGTCATTCGGATGGGACGAAAAACCGACGTCCCGTGTACACATTGGCGTGCACGTAAAAGATCCCTTGGCAGTTGGAATTCGATATAAGAGTAGGCTGTAGTGCCGCTGTCCGGGCAAAATTTCCCTCATAGCACACTGTATGGCGTATGCCCGTCTTCATTAGCCCAGGTTAGGAGCAGAAAAGTAGGACGTTAAACTCCATTTCATTTCATTTAAAAATGTTAGCACTCCATCATATAGCCCGAGTTGGGCAAAAAGCTGTTGTACTGACAACAGTTCTAACTACACCATAAATTTATCATAGTTTTTCACTTGGATGCATTCTCATGTGTCTTTTCAGCAAACTACTCCTGCTGAATGATTTACTACAAACATCACATTTATAAGGTTTTAATCCCGTATGAATTCTTCTGTGTCGCTGCAGACCACCACTATCAGTGAAAGATTTACTACAAACATCACATTTATAAGGTTTTAATCCCGTATGAGTTCTTCTGTGTTGCTGTAGACCACCACTATCAGTGAAAGATTTACTACAAACATCACATGTAAAAAGTTTTTCTCCTATATGGGTTCTCTTGTGTTGTTGAAGACCACTACTATCAGTGAAGGGTTTATTACATATATCACATGTACAAGGCTTCTCTCCACTATGAATTCTGATATGTCTCTGCAGATCACTATGTCTTGAAAATGATTTACTACAAATATTACACGTAAAGGGTTTTTCACCAGTATGAATTCTGAAATGTCTCTGTAGTTTACAAATGTATGTGAATGATTTACTACAAACATCACATTTATAAAGTTTTTCTACTGTATGACTTTTTACATGTTCTTGTAGATATCTACTATTAGTAAATGATTTACTACAAACATCACATTTAAAACAGTTTTCACCAGTATGAATTCTCCTATGTCTCTGTAGATCGCTACGGTTAGTAAATGATTTACTACAAACATCACACGTAAAAGGCCTTTCTCCAGAATGATTTCTGATATGATTCTGAAGACGGCTATTTCTGGTAAATGATTTACAACAAACATCACATTTATAAAGTTTTTCACCAGTATGACTTCTGATATGTCTCTGTAGATCGCTACCGATAGTAAATGATTTAGTGCAAACATCGCACGTAAATGGTTTTTCACCAGTATGAATTCTGATATGTCTCTGTAGTTTACTACTGTATGTGAATGATTTACTGCAAACATCACATTTATAAGGTTTGTCTTTAATATGAGTTCTCTTGTGTTGCTGCAGCCCACTACAGTCAGTGAATGGTTTACTACAAACATCACACGTAAATGGTTTTTCACCAGTATGAATTCTGATATGTCTTTGTAGTTTACTATTGTATGTGAATGATTTACTACAAACATCACATTTAAAAGGTTTCTCTGTAATATGATTTTTTACATGAATTTTAAGATATTTGTTAGTAAATGATTTGCTACAAACATCATACTTTTTAAACTCTTGTGAACTGAGTATTTCTTTTTCATTGTTCTGGCTAAAAGTTTTCTCCCAATGTTTACCATGTTGTAAACCAGACTCCTCTTCTTTAACATGTTTTTCACAGTGTTTTTCTAAATCAGTTTCTAAATTAAATTCTTCATCACACAAATTACACTGATGAACTGTTTCAATGTCCCCAGCTTTCTCTTCTTTAACATGACAAAATTCATCTACATCATCAGTTTTCTCTTCTTTAAAACGAACATGACAATATTCATCTACGTCACCAGTTTTCTCTTCTTTAACATGCACTTTGTAGTGGTTTTCTAAACTACAAAAACTTTTAAAAATTTCATTACATATTGTACACTGATGAAAAGTTATTACATCATTAGTTTCCTGTAATATATAAAAGTTATAACATCATTAGTTTCCTGTAATATATATATAAGTTATAAAATCATTACTGTCTGTTCCAGGCGATACTACGACTCGAAAATTGCTTACTATTTCTTCAATTTTTAATTAAAATGGTTAAAACTTAACGACCTACCTGGAATTGTCACCCTGTTACTTTCTTAGTCGAACCTTAACGCCAATAAGGTAGATAAAATCCTTTATTCTCTTGTAAATTTCACATTTTTCGACACCATCAATTTCTCAGAACATAAACATTACCAATGCGCTTGCGTAAGTTGGGTCACTCGTATATCATGTAGGGGTATAAGGTATTCCACAAATCAGGTGCATTCGGTTAATAATATTTGTGCGGGAGGATTCGCCCGTTTGTTTTGCGACAGTGTGAGTGGTGTGTGTGGGTGTGTATGTGTGTGTGTGTCTAGGTTTATTTGGTTACCGGTATTTTAATATTCCTTAGATATTAATAGTATTGCATGTCTCCTAAAATATTCCTCACAGAACAAACACTTATTTTCAGCATTAGATGGCATGTTAACCTTTCTGATAAAGTGTAAATTTGTACAATATCTTATAATTGTATGGAATTAAATAGTTTTGATTAACGGTATCTATTTTTATTTATATTCGCGTTTCACAGGCACACAAGATTTGTTTCAGATATTGTCGTAGAATTGATAGAAAAAAACGAATCGTAGAAAATATAATTCCTTGAATAATGGATCATCCTTTCATCACATGCATTTGCAAGTGCACGATGATGCGTGTATATAAGAAGGTGGATACTGGGTAAGTGATTATTGTTATTTACAATTTCAAGATGAAGATTACGCGAGATGTGAACCAATGTATCAATCATTTATTTACTTATTTTGAGAAACAGAGTAAAATGAATTATAGACGATATAAAAGTTCCAAAAAAGAGATTGCCTACGCATTGAATATACCCTTAATAAAGAAAAAGCAAGGTTAACAAATGTACAACAAAATTAGATAATTTTGACCTGATGACAATAAGAGAGACCATCCATAAACTACACGACAATGGCCAGTATGTAAGTTTAGTTCATTTAAATGTTTCATCATTGCTATTCGACTTTCATACATACATGTTCTGCATTCAATAAACTTGATTTAATGATTATCTATATAACATTATACGACGCTACGCGTCAACATAGCACCAAGAAATACCCCCACCAGTGAGTGGATTGAAATTTGTTTGCAGCTTTGATAACATGAGATATTGTACATGCATGCAGAATTATTAAGAATGGTGACCTTACATCGTCCTCCTCAACAATATATGACCGACGACATAGCCCATCAGCATGGACATTTAGTCTTACGGTTACCAGTAAGGCACTGCGAGTTAAACCAAATAGAGATAATTCAAGGTAATACTTAACACTGAAATTTGGATGGCAGTCAAGTTAACGGCATTGAAAAGAATAATAAATCTTTTCTTATCTGCGATGTTAAAAAGGGTTAAAACATTCATTTATGAAAGCTTTTACTACACCTTATAATATTTTAAAGTGTCTCCACATTAAATCAAAAATACTTTCATTTTAGCACAAGAAAAGGCCTATGTCGCCCTAAGAAACACCAATCTTAAGATCAAAGACGTTAAGCGTCTGTTCCTGGAGGCCAATACTAGTGTGACAACTGGAAACTGGACTAAGGCATGTCAACACGTCATAGACAAGGTGGAGGATCGGTTTGGGGAAGCGGGAAGATTGAATGAGGAAGTACCACCAGTCGTGATTTCATTCGGGAGTGACAGAAAGTATGAATGTGAGGTTGAGGATTTGGGCGAGAATGTCAGTGTAAGAGTGATAGTGAAAATGTTGCTGAGAATATGGATGGCGGAGGTGTTGCGAATGAAGATTCGAGTGATGATGATATAAACGTGTGTAGGGTATGTGATTGTGAGAACCCACCGGGAAGTGAATCGGATGCGATTGTGGATTGGGTGGGCTGTGATTTGTGTGAAGGGTGGATGCATGTGAAAGTACTGGGAAAGAGATTGATGTAACCGCAAGTGTAGTGAAGTGTGTAGATTGTGTGCGTAAATTGTATTATAGATAGCGTGAATGTAGGCCAGGCAACTTTTGTAATATATATTGTATATAGTCTGGGCATTTTCTGTGAATTTGTGTAAATAAATGATTTCTATAAAACGGTTTATTTTCCGTTTTCTTGTTTAAAAGGTAGACTTGCATAAATTGAATTAAGTACAAGATGAATCAAAAAGAATAAATTAAATGTGAAACAAAAAAAAAACACCCGTGGTCTGAACACAAAAACGCAATTACGTGCACTTGATCTATCAGGAGTTGACCTTGTGTGGCTACTACCCCGTTCCGTTTTCTGTTGTATTATCACTTGCTTAGGGGCATTTCACAAATTTAATATCTAAGTCAGTGGAGTTAACAACTGTGGTCTGAAACCAAATAGCAAATTTATATTACCTCCCGTAAATAGCTCATTAAAGCAAGTTATATTCTACTGAGCCGAAACAACTATTTAAACATGCAAGTAGGACGAAACGACCCCAAGTCAAATCCACACCCCTGTTCGATTTGGTTTATTCCAAATAACTAGGTCAAGCATGGCTGTCTTCGATACCGCGAAGTAAATAAACAACGATTTTTCAAGAGAGAAAGGTTATATAGCTTGATCTGAAATTAGTTAACGTGTGGTAGAAAGTAAAGGGGTGACAATTCCATGTAGGTCGTTCAGTTTTAACCATTTTAATTAAAAATTGAAGAAATGGCAAGCAATTTTCGAGTCGTAGTGTTGCCTGGAACAGACAGTAGTCTCCTGTAATACAGTATATATAAAAGTTATAACGTAGGGGTCTTTAGTAGTAGGCGGAAACCGGAGGACCCAGAGAAAACCCACGAGGTTGGACAGGCGACCTTACTCCTTAAGGGCAAGGTAAAGTGACACCATCTAGTTGCATACTAGTCTCAACACCAACATGCCTGAAGATATTATTTCCAAACACAAAATAGTGGCCCTTGGATACAAAAGTCCAAAATAAACTCTATTACTCACAATACACTATTTCATTGTCAATAGCCCTTTAATTCGTACATCTGAGTGTTATCGTGTAAAGGAAAATTTCAGTTTCATCACTTTCTTTCCCAATTGCGGTTACACCTACAGACAAAATGATAAAACTTGGGGACAGCTATTATCTCTCTATTTATACCCTGATCTGTGTAGTACAGTCGTTGAGTCTTAGATTTTTGAGTTCCTATTTCCTTGTAGTGTGAGATTTCCACGTCCCTATTTCCTTGTAGTATGAGATTTCCACGTCCATGCTACCACGGGGTTGGGATCTGCCATTTTCTTTTTCAATCTCGAAAATGACCATTGATATCTTTCAGTACTGAATGGACGGTATATTTGCTTCATATTTACCAAAGTTATAAATTCAAAAGTCATTATTTTTGATTTCCATCCATTTCTTACTGTTCAGTATCATCTCAAGCACGTTTAGACACCAAAGGTGTTGTGAATGATATTTTGAGGACCCCCCCCGCCCCGATTTCAGGTGTTCGGACAATTTTTGTCACGTTACCTTGCCCTTAACAATTTTAAAAAAATTCGCAAAAGTTAAGAAAAGTCTATTTTGTAACTTAATTCATTTGCCCCGATGTCATCCCACCTAGTGATAGTAACATCCATGCGAATATTGACGGTTGATAGGTTTGGGTCCAATAATTCAACTCACCATGTTATCATTAATTGTTGATGTTTACAACTGACCTCTATAGATCACACAAATTGATATAACGTATCAATAAAACACTACTCGTGTGGTAAACAGACGGTGTATATCGCATGAAGTGAGATCGCACAAAGAAAACTGTCTTTCTTCACTATCCCATGTTCATTTCCGGAACAACTTTGGGATAGTTGTATAATGAAATAAGATGTGGATCTATCCAACACGAATAACTCATAATGTTAGACACTTGACAGCATACGACTATTACGTGCGCACATGACGGAAAGTAATAATATTTCCGTCTGCGCATGATAGGAAGTAGTTATATTTATATCTGTCGAGACTGGTTATGTCTGCAGGGTTGAATCTATTTTGCAAGTAAGGTGGTCTCGGCACGGTGTGCTTAAATTTCCGTAGTATAAACGCTATCCAGTCTGAGAATATTAGTCTGGATGCGTTGTCATCATTAGAGAATGATAGGTCATTTTCTAGATTATCTGGTATTTTACAATATCACAAAGTCTAAGGGAGGTAACTAGGCCTAAAACAAGATGTTGACACCTATGAAATTAATTTAAGAATGCCATTTTAGAAAATCCATTTGATTGCATTGCCAGTTCAATATCCAACATTCTTAATTTTTTTTACTTATCTAATTCGACGTCACGATTCATGTTTCTTTATATTAATACAAGAATTATGGGATTTATTGTGTCAAGGGACGCCACTCCTTGACATTGCCAAAAATACTGGATAATCAAAGAGAGAGAGAGAGAAAAATGGGGTTTAACGTCCACTCGACACATACTAGGTCATTTCGGGACCAACATATGGTTTAATTTTATTTCAATAATTCGCTTGCATGTGGGGGTCTTTAGCAGTGGGAGGAAACTGGAGAAAACCCATGAGGTTGGACAGGCGACCCTACTCCTTGTCACGTACAACCAGGGATTCGAAACCCCGCCAGTTGACTCAATGACAGACTTATATGATACAGCGTGCACACGCTAACCATTTAGCCAACCAATCCCCCCTTACTGGATAATCAACCATGTTGAAGACTAGGAGGTTCTGGATGCCCGAGACTAGTCTGAGAACGGTTCTCAATAGGGATTACTGCGAATGCGCCAAATGCACCTTGACCTTTTTTCAACGCAAACTTTGATAGTTGTCATCAGTTCTGTCAAAATGACTGCCCAAACTAAGTCAACTACCATAATTGTTTTCATCCGAGTAATTTGTATAGGTATCGAAATTAACTTTTCTGTGAAGAGTTCCACATTTGGTGTGTCTGATAAGATTCTCAGACTGGTCATTTTAGAGTAATGTAAACAGGTCCACTTCGCGGCTCAGTGTAAATGGGGCATAAGTTTCATTAAAATCGGATAGAAATACAGTAGAACTTGTATTAAGCAAGCACCCAAGGGAAATTTAAAAATGCTTGCTTAATGGAGGTGCTCTTTGACTAGAGGTATCCAATTTTGCCCCAACCCCTACCACAAAAAATAAAGATATATTTTTTATTCATGTAGTATAACAATAACAATACATGTACTTTTTTTTATCTAGTTGTGAATTCAAAGTACAATGTAGTCGCGTATACATGTTTGTTTAGTAATACTGGATCTCTGGCCCCCAATATTTCTTTTACTTTCATCATACTGAATCATAGCGTCTAAAAGCGTTTCAAAATGCCGTGAATTTGATGATTTCCCACCCCAACTATTTAAGCGATTACGCGACCACTTAATAAAATCTCGGTGCTTTTTGTGCTGACATAAATTAATTACGCTTGGGTGCATTGGGAGCGAACATCAATACTTGCATCGATAAATTTGACCGTCGCTGAATCTTGCGCCGAACGAAAATACGTTACTCAAATCTCGAACATAACTTCTGTAAACTTGCCATTTTGTACCAACCTTCGATACTACTGTCTACCATTATGATGCATTTGATAATATTTATCCATTTTTGTGAAGAAAATCGATGAATTAATTTTATTTTATCAAAAAAGCACATGAACAAAAAACCATCGCTGATATTATCACCGATTTACTGGGGGTGTAACTCTGTATGTAATATTATAGGGGGCGCTAAAACGTCTGTTTAACAACAAAGTGGCAATGGAAAAGAAATACTAGATGATCGTGACAAAACTTGGTACTTTCATTTTATTCAATCAGTATCAAATAATGTGTCGTTACGCGTGAAAACAATGATCAGGTTAGTCATTTAATAAAACAAAAGATTAATAAACAAATAATCCCAGGGTGATTGTTATTTTTACATTTCATTTTACCTGATCAGTGGGGGTCCAATTAATTAACTACTACTCACGGGATTAGCGGGCATGTTACAAAGAAAGAACGACAAGATGGTATCATTCAACAATGGCCGTTGAATGGGCGATGTTTTGTTGAATTTATTAGTAAAATAGTGACCGTTGAAACAGTAGAATTTTTACGGGGGGAATTAAACGTGATGCCCGCCCGTTGCACGCGTTAAACAGGTGCGTGTTTAGTAGGGGTTAAATTACTTAAAAATAGCGCGAGTGGATTTTTTGGTGCTCGTTGAAGCAAGTGTTCGCTGATTAGGAGTGCACGCCCGAGCAAGTTCTACTGTAGTGACTTCTGGAGTGGCCACAAGCGGAGTTATGACCCCTTGAAGAAGAATGTGGTCTCCATGGCAATTGCTACCAATGTTCATTAACAAAGTCTCGATTATTTGACAATCATCCTATATGAAAATGAAATGAAATGGGGTTTAACGTCCTACTCCTAAAATGGGCTAACGAAGACGGGCATACGCCATACAGTGTGCTATGAGGGAAATTTTGGCCGGACAGCGGCACTACGGCCTACTCTTATATCAAATTCCAATTGTCAAGGGATCTTTTACGTGCACGCCAATGAAATGGGGTTTAACGTCCTACTGTTCTGCTCCTAAAATGGGCTAATGAAGACGGGCATACGCCATACAGTGTGCTATGAGGGAAATTTTGCCCGGACAGCGGCACTACAGCCTACTCTTATATCAAATTCCAATTGTCAAGGGATCTTTTACGTGCACACCAATTTGTACATGGGACCTCGGTTTTTCGTCCCATTCGAACGACTAGACAGCTGTCCTTCGGATGGGACGAAAAACCGAGGTCATCCAATATGATAATACTATATGTTTATATAGGTTATTTAAGTTCTCTGAATGGTGTTTTGCTTAAGGGGGGAGGCCACCCCTTAATGTATTGAAGTCATTACCTACAAATGAGTGACAGCTAGATTTTAAATGGAGTATGATGGCACGACAGCTACAATGAGTCTATATTGCACCAAACATATGTTGAATTTAACGAGACAAATTAAAACAATATCACAGAGATGTATTTATATATGTCAATAAAACAAATTACAAATCCTTTACAGATATAAATATTTAAAACTCAACCCATGATACAATATATACAATTAAAATTTATATACAATCAGAACGTCCTAATGTTCTGCTCCGAACTGGGCTAAATATATATAATTAAAATTTATTATAAGAATTTGTCTCCTTTAGAAATGTTAGCACTCTATCAAATCTGACATAGTACGGGATCGTTACAATATGTCGGATTGCGCAGAGTGTCGAAATACCCAGTTTTATCAAAACTGCAAGTATTATTGTAACTTCTAAAACCGGAAGTATTATTATAATGTAGCTTTGAATCCCCAGAATGTTATTTCCTTTAAAATGATAAATCTTTCTGTACATTCAAAATGTTATTACATTAATATATAGGATGTTAAACCCCATATCATTTCATTTCACATTAAAATAATGGGAGAGAAAGAGAGAGAATTCTACTACAGATTTGGGGGGTTGGATGGCTGAATGGTTAGCGCGCGCTGTATCATACGGTCTGTCATTGAGTCAACTGGTGGGGTTTCGATTCCCCGGTTGTAAGTGACAAGGAGTAGGGTCGCCTGTCGAACCTCGTGGGTTTTCTCCGGTTTCCTCCCACAGTTAAAGACCCTTACGCACAAGCGAATGATTGAAATAAAATTGAACCATGTGTTAGTCCCGAAATGACCTAGTTTGTGTCGAGTGGATGTTAAACCCCATTTCTCTCCCTCTCTACAATAACAAAGCATGTATTCATGTAAACATTTAAAGTCGCTTGCTTTTGATTTTCAGATGCATACTGTAACGCCGAGTCCTGGACGCAATCCTCTAGCACTCAAATCTAATCGACCATCGCATTGTCCTTAATCTGGGCAAATGTTTTTATTTCATTAACCATGCGTGGGCATTTGGAATAGGTCAAGTCTGTCGTTAATTTATCTTCGTCATCGTCTCTGTCTTCAGTTGATTGCACGCTTATCTTTACTGTCATTGATAACCTGTCATTCTTTCTGTTGTTGACGGTTGAGTTTTTTGAGCCAATCAGAATAATTACCACTTGTCATCCAAGCCTTGCGATTGGCCGACCAATTGACTGGCAGGTCAAAATTGTTTTCAGGAGAATACCCTTCAACAAGAGTCGGAATGCGCATGCAGAATTCTTCAACGCTTTGCAGGACGATCACACATTTTACATTTACAGGATTATACAATGTTGATTCAATGCAAATCATGTGACGGGACAGCTGATTGATGTCGTAATTCGGAATATTCAGAGTATGGATTACTCAAAAGATGTTTTAAATGAAGTAATCAGGAAATAAATCCAGACATGAAAATGATGTCAGATTTCACAGAGTGCCAGAATATTCAGAGGTCGGATGTACATTAACTCCAGTTCTTACTACACCGTAATTTTTTTTTTATGGTTTTTCACTTGGATGCATTCTCATGTGTCTTTTCAGCAAACTACTCCTTGTGAATGATTTACTACAAACATCACATTTATATGGTTTTTGACCAGTATGAATTCTTATGTGTCTCTGTAAATGACTATGGTATATAAATGCCTTACTACAAACATCACACTTATGAGGTTTTTCGCCACTATGATTTCTCATGTGTGTTTGTAGACTAGTACTATTACTAAATGCTTTACTACAAACATCACATTGATAAAGTTTTCCATCAATATGAATCCACTTGTGTTTCTGGAGAGTACTGCTGTCAGTAAATGATGTACTACAAACATCACACTTATACGGCTTTTCGCCTGTATGAATTCTCATGTGTCTCTGTAGATTACCCCTCTCTGTGAATGATTTACTACAAACATCACATTTATAAGGCTTTAATCCCGTATGAGTTCTTCTGTGTTGCTGTAGACCACCACTATCAGTGAAAGATTTACTACAAACATCACAATTATACGGCTTTTCGCCAGTATGAATTCTGATATGTCTCCGAAGATGAGTACTTTCAGTAAATGATTTACAACAAACATCACATGTAAAAGGCTTTTTTCCTATATGGGTTCTCTTGTGTTGTTGAAGACCACTACTATCAGTGAAGGGTTTATTACAAATATCACATGTAAAAGGCTTCTCGCCACTATGAATTCGAATATGTCTCTGAAGGTGACAATTTCTAGCAAATGATTTATAACAAACATCACATTTAAATGGTTTTTGTCCACTGTGAATTCTGATATGTCTCTGTAGTGGACTACACTGAGTAAATGATTTACTACAAATATTGCATGTAAAAGGCCTTTCACCAGTATGAATTCTGATATGTCTTTGTAGATCGCAATTGAGAGTAAATGATTTACTGCAAACATCACACGTAAATGGTTTTTCACCAGTATGAATTCTGATATGTCTCTGTAGATCCGTTCGGTTAGTAAATGATTTACTACAGACATCACATTTGCAAGGTTTTTCCCGTGTATGATTTTTCAAATGAATTTTAAGGTAATATTTGTTAAATGATTTGCTACAAACATCACACTTCTTAAACTCTTGTGAATTGTGTATTTCTTTTTCATTATCCTGGTTAAAACTTTCCTCCCAATGTTTACCATGTTGTAAAACAGATTCCTCTTCTTTAACATGCATTTCACAGTGTTTTTCTAAATCAGTTTCAGATTTAAATTCCTCATCACACAAATTACACTGATAAACAGTTTCAATATCTTCAGTTTTCTCTTCTTTGACATGACAATATTCATCTACATCATCAGTTTCCTCTTCTTTAACATGACAATATTCATCTACATCATCAGTTTTCTCTTTTTTAACATGACAATCTTCATCTAAATCATAAGTTTTCTCTTCTTTAACATGACGATATTCATCTACACCAACAGTTTTCTCTTCTTTAACATGACAATTTTCATCTACATCATCAGTTTTCTCTTCTTTAACAGGACAATATTCATCTACATCATCAGTTTTCTCTTCTTTAACAGGACAATATTCATCTACATCATCAGTTTTCTCTTCTTTAACATGCACTTTGAAGTGGTTTTCCAAATCATAAGAATGTTGAAAAATTTCATCACATTTTGTACACTGATGAAATGTTATAACACCATTAGTTTCCTGTAAAATATAAAAGTTATAACATCATTAGTTTCTGTAATATATAAAAGTTATATACCCCAGTTGACCTAAAATGGTGATACACTACCCAGTACTTTAAAATGATAAGCCAATAGCTGCACACCAGTATAATTAATGCAACGAATGGCATTAATGCAGGCATGTTCCTGAAGCAACGACTGCAAGTTTTACAACATCTTGACATTGCTTGTTTACTTCACATTTCCCGAACTTATAACTATTTTATCTACAGATATGTGCGCAGCACCGTCCAATCAGAGGTTGTGACATCGCGACCCCCACAGAAACCTTGACATTGAATGAACCTTGAACTTTGCAACTCGATTATCACAGGTAGACATTTTAGCTTGAAAGCGCAAGATTTGGTATTCACGACGATCGAGGAATCTGATAGGCTGACAAGCTGCACTTGTACCCAATCGAAATTAGTGCTGAAATATGAGGGTATTACGTGAAGGCCTTGATAAGATGTACGTAGTTAAAGCCTTCTATTGAAGATGGGATACAAGTTGTATCAGGAATATAGTCATGGATGTATCTTTAACGCGAACGACTCACAAACGACATATGCAAAGTATAATTCAATTTGTAATTTTTGACTGATGTAAATCTATATCAATGTAAAATATTTCAAATGTACTTTCTAAACTCGACTAAGATTATTTCCAAAACATGGATCAGGGTTGAATTAATAGCAGAATCAAAATCTAATTTTGTTAGGTGGTCAAAGACAAATTGTTTTCAATTTTAATCAGTGATTCAAACGGGTGTCATTTACCTTTCGTGAAGTCATGTAAATTTGCTGATTCAAAAATAATCATGTAAATTTTTATAAATATGTTTCATATACACCACAGTGGAGCAGCTATTAGTTCATTTATCAAAAGGGAGCCATGGTGGCTAGGTGGTTAAGACGCTGGCTCGCTAGCCTAGAGGTTGGGTGTTTGATCCCTGCATTGGCCGAGAAAGTTCATCCAGATTTTCCGACGTGGTTTTCCCTTGTCAGTGGTGCAGTATGGAGGGCCTGACAAGGACAGCTGTCTAGTCGTTTGGATGGGACGACAAACCAAGATCCTGTGTACACATTAGCGTGCACGTATAAGATCCCCTGGCAGTTGGAACTCGATATAAGAGTGGGCGATAGTGCCGTGGCCCGTGCAAAATTTCCCTCATAGTACACTGTATGGTGTATGCCCGTCTTCATTAGCCCAGTATAGGAGCAGAACAGTAGGACGTTAAACCCCATTTCATTTCATTTATAAAAGCCTTGCACTCTGTAAGAAATAAAGGATTCTTAATATCTAATGAAATAATTTGGGTCAATCGATTTTCTGCGCAAACATCATCAAGAAAGGTTTTAAAATGGTTGGCCATATAATTTACAATTGCGGCATTGTGGAAAATGATATTAAACAGGCGGTGAGAGAGAGAGATAGAAAGAGAAATGTGGTTTAACATCCCCTAGACACAAACTAGGTCATTTCGGGACTAACACATGGTTCAACATTATTTCAATAATTTGCTTGCACTTAGAGGTCTTCCGCAGTGGGAGGAAACCGGAGGACCCGGAGAAAACCCACGAGGTTAGACAGGTGGTCCTACTCCTTGTCATATACAACTGGGCAATCGAAACTACGTCAGTTGACTCAATGATAGACCTTATGATACAATGTGCACACGCTAACCATTCGGCCATCCAAACCCCCATTATAAAATGTTGATGTTATAAAGAGTAATTGAATATTTTATTGTTGACTACATGACATGTAATAAAGATTTGCTGTTATGTACTTACCTGTAAAATAAATAATAATGACAAATAAAAAACAACGTTTATTAACGTAGCGTGTTAATAAATTCAGAAGTAGTATATCCATATAAGTGTTTTTAATTTGTGAAATCTACCTCTACATGTCTTTATAATTTTTTTTTTTTCTGTCATTTGAAACTTTGACCTGAAACCCTTATGCTATTACTGGGGATAATTTTGGGTCCAAAAGATCAACTTACCATTATGATGTTATCCCCGTCAGTTGTTGAAGTTTACATCCGAGCTCTATAGAAATTCAGGTTGATTTAACGCCTCAAAACAAGAAAATAAATAAATAACAGGACCTGTGTTGGAAAATCACCATAAGTAACCATAAAGAAAACCGCCTTTCCTTTCTGTCCTATCGTCATTTCCGGAATGGGAATCCTTCCGGAACAACTTGGGGTTAGTTGTATAATCAAAGAAGACGTGGATCTATCGAACACGAATAACTCATAAGACCCTTTCATGCACACTTAACGGGAAGTAATAACATTACCATCCGCCCAGGACCAGACTAAAAGCCGGAATTCATTTACAATCACCGGAATTCACTCGAAAAAACCGGAATGCACTTCGAAAACCCAGATTTCTACCACAAAACTAATTTATTTTAAATGTATAATACATAACAATATCATGGACCTTATAATACATGGACTGGTTACGAGAAGGAATACCGCTAAATGAGTGCCGCACGAGACTTGGCGCGAGAAAACGCGAGAGAAGATTACTCAACGTCTTCGCAAATTACCTAAAATCACTCTTTTTCATCGTTCTACTTAAATAAACTTTTGTTTGACAAGGTAACTTATTAACTATAATTTCCGTTGCATGTGTATACATTTTATTTGTAAACAACTTTGTAATTACCATCTTCAAAGTACATCTCCGATCAATTATTAAAACTAAGAATTCGCATTGTTTGTTGTTTTATGAACAATTGAAAACACATCACATGTTGGGATTGTTGCTTTCAATCAAAATCTATTAAATATATCATATTTTTCTGATATAAATCTTATACAGGTAATTCTAAGGGGTGCAGTGGAAAAAAAAAAAATTTATTTTTATGAAAGTGAAATATAATTAATTATGTCCAAAAAACAACGAAAATTAACACTTTTGACAATAGGTTATCAAATCACTATTATACGACCATGGGCATTATTTCCCACCCTTAAAAATCATTGACACAGGAAATAATAACACAATTACCTCCCTTGTTTTCCCATTGCCTCCATGCAGTAGCTACCTTCAAACGTTGGAATTTGAAGTTGAAAATGTTATTTTTGCCAATTTCTCAACTGGCAATAGCGAATTATAAGATTAATAGGATTATTCTTTAACAAGGTAGGACTGTTTATGGATACCATCTATTTTAAGGCTTTATTTTAATAAATTTTAAAAATATAACTTAAATTATAACAATGAGAAATTTTGTTTAAAATAATCTTATTTTTATTTGCATTGTTATTTATCTTTTATTTTGATTTTCTAGATCATGCCTAGAAGGAAAAAGTCTTGCTTGGCTCGTAAACAAAAATATCATTACAGGAAGAAAAATCAACCTTTAAGTCCTGATCATGAAGAACACCCATACAACAAACCGACACCCACGCAAAATAATACAGGGTAAGCTTTATTTTTTATGGGGGGTTGGATGGCTGAATGGTTAGCGTGCGCACACTGTATCATAAAGTCTGTCATTGAGTCGACTGGCGTGGTTTCGAATCCCTGGTTGTACGTGTCAAGGATTAGGGTCGCCTGTTCAACCTCGTGGGTTTTCTCCGGTTTCCTCCCACTGCTAAAGACCCCTACGCGCAAGCGAATTATTGAAATAAAATTAAACCATATGTTAGTCCCGAAATGACCTAGTTTGTGTCGAGTGGACGTCAAACCTCATTTCTCTCCCTCTCTTTTTTTTATTTTTTATATTATTTTGCATAAAATATCATTTACTAAATACACGTGCATCCAGATTTAGACTAACTACCAAACCGGCAGATCTAATTGTACAAATTGTCACATATATTTCAAATTTCCTGTACAAACTGCATGTACACGATTACTGCAACATGCATCAATCTTCTTCTTCCCTTAAAGACTCGGGTTCCAATTGGAACCAGTTATAGTTAGATTATGGAATATTAGTTTAAAATAAACATACTGATATGTGCTTGTAGTTTAATATTTAGATTGTTTGTAGATTAATGATATAATTTTTTTTTCAGACTTAATGAAAGTTGACCTGAAGCTATGAAAGGTTTTTGTTCGACATTTGATGAAGGGACAGAAATAAGACCTGAGGATGAATTTATTGATTCAGATGGAGATCGAGCAAATTCATTCCATGTCATCTTAGATCGAGAAAATTCATTCCATGTCATCTTAGATCGAGCAAATTCATTCTATGTCATCTTAGATCGAGTTTATGAATATAGCCCTAACGAAGATTTAGATGCTGTTGTTGATAATATTTTAATATCATCCAGGGCTGAACAGTTTCATCAGCTTACCCAAGATTTAGATGCTGTTGTTGAAAATATTTTAATATCATCCAGAACTGAACAGTTTGATCAGCTTACCCAAGATTTAGATGCTGTTGTTGAAAATATTTTAATATCATCCAGAACTGAACAGTTTCATCAGCTTACCCAAGATTTAGATGCTGTTGTTGAAAATGTTTTAATATCATCCTGGGCCGAACAGTTTCATCAGCTTACCCAAGATTTAGATGCTTTTGTTGATAATATTTTAATATCATCCAGAGCCGAACAGTTTCATCAGCTTACCCAAGATTTAGATGCTTTTGTTGATAATGTTTTAATATCATCCAAAGCTGAACAGTTTCATCAGCTTACCCAAGATTTAGATGCTTTTGTTGATAATGTTTTAATATCATCCCGAGCTAAACAGTTTCATCAGCTTACCCAAGATTTACAAACGTTTGAACATTTTGGAGAATTTACTCTTTGTTACATAATCAGATTATCTGATGTTAAAGACGCTTCCTGCCAACTTGACACCTGTTCGTTATCGACATGTCTGAAGTTCTTGGTCTATGTGATTATGTAATGATTATGTAAACGTTAACTTGCTGGCATGTTTTATTTAAACTTTGGTTGTTTGATTAGCATGTATCGAATGTTAAACTTGATATGATAAATTAGCCAGATGCCTAATAAGATCCTTTGTTTGAAAGGGTTTATAAACCCAGATTAAGAAACAAACAGAGAGAGAGGTCCGGACAGGACATGGGAGCAGTCGGAGGCTAGGCGACATCTGGTAGTTAACTAATGTAGTTTAGTTCTGGGTGTCTTTAACATTACGATGTTTGTACATACATGTAATATGTTAGAAGCAGAATAAAAGTATTAATAGAAGCTGAAACTAGTCTTGTCATCTGAACTTGATTAAAGAACTAATACTGTCACATCTTGTCCATGATATGAAAAATGACTTAGTTTTGAAGTTTGTGAGTTTTTTATAATGGCAGCAACATATCTTTCAAGGCCTGTGTAATACTTGACATGTCGTTAAATGTCACTGTCCAAATCCATCGAAGGGACTTGTCAAAGGAAAGTACTTTTTGGATTGGATTGCCCCATATTTATAAAACTGTTGATGACATTGCTAAACTTTTCCGGAAACTTGAACAGTGGAATGTTTGTATGGGCAATTATGAAAGTGATCTTATTGACATTTTGCCCTTTAATATGACATCCACGTCAGCATATCGTGAGTGTGACATGGGAGCCTTTGAAGGTGATATAAAATATACATCAACTGTTCGGTCTGTCCAATGTGAATTTCTTGTGTCAAGTGGATTAAGATGCAAAAAATGTTTAATATACAGATCAACTCTCCGCAAAACAAAGCATAGAAAAAAAATGGCTGTTGACAAAACATTTAATGTTTCTTCTAGAAAAACACATGCTGATATGTCAAAATCCGAATTGATTATGAAAGTTGATAGTTTAAAAGGTAGATCAGAGAAATTAAAAGTAGAAAATAAAAAGTTAAGAAAAGCTATTTTTCACTATTGTAATTTTTGACTAGAAATGGGAGTCAACTCTCTCTTCACCCTCTCCGAGAATGGACGATCGTTTGATTGACAGGTGTTAACTCCACCTACATAATCTCGATTATCAAGTAACCTTTTTTAATGGCTGTGGTTTGAGACAGGGTTGCAATTCAATTCGTATCACATTTATTTTTACTACAAATTAAAAATAAGCCTTTTAATATATAGATAAGAAGCGAACGTTTGAAAGGAATGGACCAAATCAATGAGGCATAATTATAGCCGACTTCTTGTTAGCCTGCGTGTACTCTTGTACTGTAACTGGTAGGCCTGCGTAACTCCCGAACAGTGATCCAATGGAGCTGCAATTCAACTGGGGTGATGTTAGCTGTGATGTTTATCAATTTCTATAATTTTTCTGTAAACGCAAGTGACAAAAGAGTGTAGCCTATAATACGGACATCCAAACTCTCATTTTAACCACAACTAAACATAATATCAAGGCTGTATACATGCATATCGAACTTTCAATCAAATTGACTGACATGCGGCCTAGCTCAACAGCGGCCTCGCTTCGTACAATCTATCATTTAGCCTCGATTTAAAATTATTTCCGGGAGTATGACGTCAACGTAACGGTTAATCTCCGCTTACGACGCCATTTAAAGGCTCAATACCACTCTTGTTGTAACTGAATAATATGTCCAAATCTTTATTCTGGTCAACAAATTGTACTATTTTACAATATTCCAATTAATTGATGATACAAATTTCATCTTAACACACCTAATTTAAAAAATTAGAAAAATTCAACTAAATGATTTGAAACGCCTAACGTAAACCTTTTCAAATGTGACTTGGATTTAAAAATATTTTCGAACCCTCTGGACAAGTAAATTAGGATGTAATGGATAATTTACGCAACAGGTAGGACACTTAAACATCTAATACTTAGAATAAGGCTATTATTTATTTTCTGGAGCTGTCAAGCCAGCAAGAGTGTTATTGTCCCTTTAAAAATTTAATCAATCAACGAAATCCTGTTTAAATCCAAGCCGAATCCAAGCCATCCGTGGGTCTACAGAGTTGATTTTGTGCTTGTTGTGTAAATAAAGATCTAATTTATAATTTCTATGACATCTGAAGCCTAAATAAAGACTTGCAATACTCAGATTTAGCTCTTGCATAATGTATGTTTAAGTTTATTAGAGAACTATTATTAGAAGTTAATGCATAATGTACACTAATCAATGTTTGGCACTTTACAAACTTTGTAGTTATCTATTATATACTTTGATTCTATGAATTCTATTTATTTTTTTAGGCTCTTCCTTAAGGACATGCTTTTTTTCATATGTTGAGACAAAACCTTTTCTTTTTGAAAACATTTTTTAATAAATTTAGCACTGTCATGGTAAAGCATACATCTTATATTTTATTATTATTATCATCATTATCATCTGCCCAGTCAATCAACTTATCAAGACAAGTGATTATTTAAATTCTTTCCTTAGTGTTAGGTAAGAAAAGTTGATATTTACCGTGTAAACAGTAGCGTGCATGTAAAAGATCCCTTGGCAGTTGGAATTCGATGTAAGAGTAGGCCATAGTGCCGCTGCCCGGGAAAAAATTCCCTCATAGCACACTGTATGGTGTATGCCCGTCGCGTCTTCATTACCACAATCGGAGAAGAACAGTAGGACGTTAAACATTTCACACCTTGATAGTCAAATGTAACACACCTGGGGCCTGTTTCACGAAATTTTAACTAAAGATAAAATCCAAATTTTAGTAGATACTTCAATTTTGATTGGCTAAGCACTAAAATCAATCTAATATTATCCAATCAAATTACTAAAATTTGGATTTTATTTTAGTTAAAATTTCGTGAAACAGGCCCCAGGACTTTAATACACGAATCTCTGTGATAGAAGATCTTATAGGCCAAGAAGTCGTTTACACATAGAATTTAAGAGTGGTGAACTAGTCCGCTGCTTTAACCCCATAAAATATGCCAAAACAGTGTTTACAGAAGACTGAAATTTTTTATGAGGGTGACCCTCCCACACTCTCCCTATCGCGCTACATCACAGATTGTCAACATTTTATATAATTTCATTTGTGGACCCCCCCCCCCCAAATATATTTCACGGTTACACCTCTGTTCCCCGCTATAGCTATGTTTTTTCTCCTTTTTCTCCCTAAGCCTCGGGCAAAAGCCTTATCTTTTCTTTATTGAGAGAACCCCTACTGTTCAAGGCTAACTTGATAAGCTCATAGTTGATATTTCCAGATGAAGTTTCGTGTAATGATCAAAAAATGAACAAACGAAAAAATCATTTTTAAAATAATTTTCTATCCTTCTGCTCCTGTGTATTTAAAAGAACTGATTTGCATACAAACACCGAAACGTTTAACAAGATCATCAGAAGCTGTCAGACTCAACTTGCCAACTAGAAAGTCCAATAAAACATAGGGATAGAGCATTTATGCACAGCGCACCGAAGGCTTGGAATGAATTGCCGATTACATTCCTTGTTACAACGAGTTCCTTGTTACAAATGGCGCTGAAGATATTATGGTACACGATTCGTGTACCAATGGTAAAATGTTTATTTTGTCTTAAATATTGGATATATGAAGCCCAGCTTTTCCCGGTAAGATCACAACATCAATGTTGATTTAAATTGACAAATAATTTGTGTTTTCAATGTACAAGACTTTAGATGATACTGAGTTAGAGATTTAGCTAGTTTAATTAATGTCTATTTAATAATTTAGATAACATTTCAGGCCTAAAGAAAGAACTGCAATAGACATTTTTAGCTCTTGCATAATGAATGTTTAACCCGTCCGTAGGTAAAAATAGTATTAGATCCACTGGTGCCCAGAATATACATCTATGACGTTTATGAGTTGCCTGGGTTGAATTGATCTAGGTCTTTAGTCAATATACAACCGGACTCCGATTTTTGTTTTCAAAGTTCATTTCCGTATCCGGGCTTCACCGGAAATGAACTTCTGAAACAACTAAAGAATTTTTTTCCAATTTGTTTTCTTTCTGAAAAATAACAGCTCAGTGGAAGCTGAACTACACCACCAACAAAGACAGTTTGACGATGTACTTGGCCTGCTGTAGCAGAATTTACAAATAAAATAACTTGTATGGTGTATCGTTTAAAGTGAGAATTTCATATTTTCTACGAAAGTCAAAACATAATCATTTCTATGCCTTTTTTTGCTCAATAGGTTGTCAACTCAGATTTATACGATCATACTCATAGGTACCATTCTCACACTTAACAATCATTCAACCCGAAAATAATAACACAATTACCTCTCTCATTTTTCTATACCCCTCATGGAATATAGCTATCTCCAAACGTTTGAATTTGCAGTTGAAAATGATATTTTTGCAAATTTCTCAACTGGCGATAGTGAATTATAGGATTAATAGGATTATTCTTTAACAAGGTAGGACTATTTATAGATAACATCTATTTTAAGGCTTTATTTTAAAAATATAACTTAAAAATATGAAATTATCGCTTTAAGGGTTGTAGATTGGACAGATGCATCACAGAGTGTTTACCACCGATTGACTTGGCTAACAGTCGCAGAACTTTACACACAAATTAATGGTGAGTATTGGCATAACTCAATATCATCCAAAGTCTTCTACATTGAAAACACGAATTATTTGTCAATTTAAATCCACATTGATGTTGTGATTTTACCGGGAAGAGATAGGTTTCTTGTATCCAGTATTTAAGACAAACATTTTACCATTGGTACACGAATCGTGTATCATAATGACTTTTAGTGCCATTTGTAGCAAGGGACTAAAAAAATGAGGCTTGACATATTCCACACGTCATGTCAAACGGTGATGCCATTTTCTTATCTGGAGACCATGCGCAATAAATACTATTGGTATAGACTGGAATAACCAGACATTAGAGATTGCCATTTGATTGAGACTTCTGGCGTAATTCGCCGAACATAACTGATTAGAATTTAATGTAACAAGAGAAATGATTAAATGTAAATCAGTTTATATACATTCATATTACATTATTATATGCGTTGTGACCCATTGGTGTCAATTTCTAGGTCCAGAATATTAGCGATTTAGCTCCTTTAATCCTCCCGCCACTTGAAAGCAGGATTTTCTTGACAGACTGAGGTGTTTCAGCCGATTTTATAAAAGTGAAAGTTAGTAAATAGTTTGAAAGTTCCACTATGGCAAATCTAACCCAAACCTAACCCTAACCTAAAGAGAAAGACAAACAAATTTAATTACAGTGTTAATAAAACGCATGATTTTTGCCATTTGCGAGGAGGTGCCAAAACTCAAAACCATGGCGCAAAGCATGGCATAGCACCCCTCTCACTTAGCCCCTGACTGGGGGATCACATGGCTACGTGGGTAAGACGCTGGCTTGCTAGTCTGGAGGTCGGGTGTTCGATCCCTGCATTGGCCGAGAAAGTTCATCCAGATTTTCTGGCGTGGTTTCCCCTTGTCAGTGATGCAGGACAGAGGGCCTGACAAGGACAGCTGTCTAGTTGTTCGGATGGGACAAAAAATCGAGGTCCCATGTACAAATTGACTAGCATGTGAAAGATCCCTTGGCAGTTGGAATTCGATATAAGACTAGGCCATAGCGCTGCTGCCCAGGCAAAATTTCCCTCATAGCACACTGTATGACATATGCCCGTCTTCATTAGCCCAGTTTAGGAGCAAAACAGTAGGACGTTAAACCCCATTCATTTCATTTCATTTAGCTCCTGACTAGTAGAGGTGTAAAGTACAATAGCGCCCCATTTGGTATGGGTTGTTTCTTTATAAAAGAAATAACAGCTATGTGTGAAAAACTATTTGGTATGGGTTTTTTCAGCATGGTGCTATTTACTTTCGCACCTATACCAGGCCTGTGGTTGTAGAGACTAGAAAATTTCTACCGGTACCAAATAAATCAATAACTTTTTTATTTTAATCACCTTTTAAATTCTGATGAGAACTATATTTTGCCGATCATCGCCGTCTTGCTTGTTTACCATATAGGCTTGAATACACTGATCTTAATTGGCTGGGGGGTTGGATGGCCGAATGGTTAGCATGTGCGTGCTGTATTATACGGTCTGTCATTGAGTCAAATGGTGGAGTTTCGATTCCCTGGTTGTATGTGACAAGGAGTAGGGTCGCCTGTCCAACCTCGTGGGTTTTCTCCGGTTTGCTCCCACAGCTAAATACCCCTACGTGCAAGCGAATTATTGAAATAAAATTGAAACATGTGTTAGTCCCGAAATGACCTAGTTTGTGTCGAGTGGACATTAAACCCCATTTCTCTCTCTCTCTATCTCTCTCTTTCTCTCTTAATTGGTTGTTTTATGTCAGCGTTAGCCGATTGATGTTTAATCCAGTCGATTACTAAAACAATGATCCAACCACTATGGTATCATAAATCAATCTACTTTCGGCTAAATTACAACAGGTTAATTATTGCTTATTAAACATACTAATTAAACATGCATTATGCAAGAGCAAAATCTGCTTATTACAAGTCTTTCTTTAGGCCTGAAATGTTATCTAAATTATCAATTAGACATTAATTAACTTATCCAGACCATAATAAACTCTCGATGTCAAGGCTAGCCATCGATGTTGGCTGGATTAGATTCCTATATGCCGCTAACGGCCTTTGATAATTAAATCAGAAAAAGTGGATAATCGAGACTATGCTGTTTATATTAATGATTTTAGTAATGATGCCCGAGACTATGCAAAAATTTCACCTGCTTCTTTCTCGGCTCATAGTGGATCAATTTATAACATGTTACTCGACACAAACTAGGTCATTTCGGGACTAACACATTGTTCAATTTTATTTCAATAATTCGCTTGCGCATACAGGTCTTTAGCAAAGGGAGGAAACCTGAGAACCTGGAGAAAACCCACAAGGTTAGACAGGCCACCCAACTCCTTGTTACGTACAAACGAGGAATCGAAACCACGCCAGTTGACTCAATGACAGACTTGATGATACAGGCAGGCATACACCATACAGTGTGCTACGATGGAAATTTTGCCCGGGCACTATGGCCTACTCTTATAGAATTCCAACTGCCAAGGGATCTTTTACGCGCAAGCCAATGTGTACACGGGACCTCGCTTTTTAGTCCCATCTGAACGACTAGACAGCTGTCCTTGTCAGGCCCGCAATCCTGCACCACTGACAATGCAGGGATCGAAGATGCAACCTGCAGGCTAGCGAGCCATCGTCTTACCAACTTAGCCACATGGGTTCTACATGAAGCTAATTGTTATGACTTTTATATATTTCAGGAAACTGAAATGATGTTAAACTTTTATATATTACAGGAAACTAATGATGTTATAACATTTATATATTACAGGAAACTAATGATGTTATAACTTTTATATATTACAGGACGATAATGATGTTATAACTTTTATATATTACAGGAAAATAATAATGTTATAACTTTTATATATTACAGGAAACTAATGATGTTATAACTTTTATATATTACAGGAGACTAATGATGTTATAACTTTTATATATTACAGGACAATAATGATGTTATAACTTTTATATATTACAGGAAAATAATAATGTTATAACTTTTATATATTACAGGAAACTAATTTTGTTATAACTTTCATATATTACAGGAGACTAATGATGTTATAACTTTTATATATTACAGGAAAATAATAATGTTATAACTTTTATATATTACAGGAAACTAATTTTGTTATAACTTTCATATATTACAGGAAACTAATGATGTTATAACTTTTATATATTACAGAAGACTAATGATGTTATAACATTTTTATATTTCAGGAAACTGATGATGTAAAAATTCTTCATCAGTGTGTTGTATGTGATGAGATTTTTCAACAATATGATGATTTAGAAAAACACAATAAGATGCATGTTAAAGATGAGAAAACTGATAATGTTGATGAATATTGTCATGTTAAAGAAGAGAAAACCGTTGATGGAGATGAATATTGTCATGTTAAAGAAGAGAAAACTGATGATGTAGATGAATATTGTCATGTTAAAGAAGAGAAAACCGTTGATGGAGATGAATATTGTCATGTTAAAGAAGAGAAAACTTATGATTTAGATGAAGATTGTCATGTTAAAAAAGAGAAAACTGAAGATGTAGATGAATATTGTCATGTTAAAGAAGAGAAAACTGATGATGTAGATGGAAATTTTGATGTTAAAGCAGAGAAAACTGATATTGAAACTGTTTATCAGTGTAATTTGTGTGATGAAGAATTTAATTTAGAAACTGATTTAGAAAAACACTGTGAAATACATGTTCGTCAACAAGGGCAAACCAGAGAAAAACCATATAAGTGTGATGTTTGTGGTAAATCATTTCATCAGAATAGTGGTCTACAGAAACACATGAGAATTCATACTGGTGAAAAATCTTATAAGTGTGATGTTTGTGGTAAATCATTTCATCAGAATAGTGGTCTACAGAAACATATGAGAATTCATACTGGTGAAAAACCTTATAATTGTGATGTTTGTGGTAGATCATTTAGTCAGCGTTGTACTGTACAGATTCACATGAGAATTCATACCGGAGAGATGCCATATAAATGTGATGTTTGTAATAAATCATTCAAACACAGTTATGGTATAAAGAATCACATGAAAAATCATACTGGCGTAAACACATATAAATGTGATGTTTGTAGTAAATCATTCAAAGAAAACGGTACGTTATGCCAACACATGAGAACTCATATTGGTGACAAAACTTGTGCTTGTCTTGTGTGTAGAAAATCTTTTACTTCCAATATTCATCTATAGAGGCATAGGAGAGAGAGAAAGAGAAATGGGGTTTAAAGTCCACTCATTAGCCCTGTAACACACTCAACCCCACATACATAACAGTGGACAAAAATTCTCAGAAGGTTGTCATGTGACCCCTTCCTATAAAAATGAAAAAAATATATCTTATAGTTCATACAAACTTATGTAAAACTGCAGTGTTAAGTAAGAGAGAGAGAAATGGGGTTTAACGTCCACTCGACACAAACTAGGTCATTTTGGGACCAATAATTCGCTTGCGCTTAGGGGTCTTTAGCAGTGGGAGGAAACCGAAGGACACGGAGAAAACCCTACTCCTTGTCACGTACAACCAGGGATTCGAAACCACACCAGTTGACTCAATGACAGGCTTTATGATACAGCGTGCACGTGCTTACCATTCGGCCATCCAACCCCCCAGTGTGAAATGACTCTAGCATTAATATTGACTGAGATTTTACCTTTTGAATCGAGGTACCCTTTCGCATGTTTTGAAACTACTATTCTATGACTCGATTTTAGTGTTCTGATTTTATGCCTTCTGGTCAGTCTATATTTGTGAAATGTTGGGGTTCGTAGGTGAACGTTATATAGATTAAGAATTCGCCATCAAATTTTACCGTCAACTGTGTATGTGGTAATTTATTTTAAGAAGCATCATGGGAGATTTGATAAAGAGTTCACAGTTCTCACTATAATAGTTAAACATACATTATGCAAGAGCTAAATCTGCCTATTTCAGGTCTTTCTTTAGGCCTGAAATGTTATCTGAATTATTAATTAGACATTAATTAACTTATCTAGACCGTTATCAATTCTCGATGTCATCGTTAGCCTGCTTGATTGACAGCTTGTAAGTGACATGTATTTTGTCTGCTTTCATGTTTTTGTGCTTTCTGACAGCATTTTTCAACATAAACAGACCAAAATCATGGGCATGTGAGACATATAAGACTTTTCCTTTTTTTCTTTCATTTCCTCTTGAGAATGGCTGGGCTCAAATGTATATACGGCATTAATCTAGACCCATAGAAGAGATATTTTATATTCCAATACATTGGTGTCTGACGTTAACATACTTTGGAATTTTATATATTTATTTGAATATATACAATGTATGTGCCACAAGTCCTTTTAAATAAATAATAAAGATTATGTTTTGACTTTGGGTAGTTGTTGTTACTTAAAGGAGCTAAATTGCTAATATATGGGACCTAGTGTCTGGTTATTCCAGTCTATTACGTATGCTTTCCAGATAAGAATATGGCATCTCTGTTTGACATTACTTGTGGGGGTTAGTGCTAAATGATGAGGCCAGGTCACGAGATGTAAACAGGGCTAGCACTAATCCCAACCCTAACCCTAACCCTGGACCTAGCCTCAATGCTTACCTTAACCTACAATCTTGCCAACAGTCACGTGCCCTAACCTTATTTACATCTCAGTGACTTTGACCAAAAATGAGCTGGCCTTAACAAATAGATTTAACCCTTCTGGAGTATGTCTAGCCTCATTCTTCGAGTCCCTTATAACAACGTGTTATTTTACATGATTCGTGTACCAATGGTAAAATGTTTATTTTTTCTTAAATATTGACTATCAGAAGCCCATCTTTTCCCATTAAAGTTACAATTTCATATTTTTAAGTTATATTTTTAAAATATATTAAAATAAAGCCCTAAAATAGATGGTATCTATAAACAGTCCTACCTTGTTAAAGAATAATCCTATTAATCCTATAATTCACTATTGCCAGTGTAGAAATTGGCAAAAATATCATTTTCAACTTCCAATTCCAACGTTTGAAGATAGCTACTCCATGGTGGAGAATAGAAAACATGCGAGCTAATTGGGAGGTAATTGTGTTATTATTTCCGGTGTAAATGAGTTTGAAGTGGGAGAATGTCACCTATGAACGTATAATAGTGAGTTGACAACCTATTGAGCAAAAGACACAACATCAATGCTGATTTAAATTGACAAATAATTTATGTTTTCAATGTGGAAGACTTTGGATGATATTGAGTTAGAGACTTAGCTACTTTAAATTAACATTTAAAAAAAACATGTTTCACTGTATTGGTCCTGTAAAATAATCCCCCGACATGCCAGACACACAATATCGTATGTACCCTAGAATTACATTTTTATACGCCCACATTTTCATGTGGACGTATATTGTCGTCGCCCCTGTCCGTCCGTCCGTCTGGACGTCTGTCCGGACGTCCGTCCACAATTGTTTGTGAACAGTCTACAGGTCACAATTTTTATCCGATTTCAATGAAACTTGAAATATAGGTTTATCACCCTACGATCTTGGTTCCTTTCGGTATTGGCATGTATCGGACTGTAACTTCATGGATTATGGCCCCTGATTGTACGAAAAATCACGTTTTTAGCTTGTGAACACTGTAGAGGTCACAATTTTTATCCAATTTAGTTTAAACTTGAAATGTATGATTATAACCCAAAGATCTCGGTTCCTTTCGATATTCGCGCATATCGGAACGTAACTTCCTGAATTATGGCCCCTGATTGTATGAAAAATCGCAGTTTTAGCTTGTGGATCATATTGAGGTCATAATTTTTATCCGATTTAAAAAAAAGTATTATTTTATCACTGTTAAATCCTATGGACAGCTGAGTTCGAATTTCGTGAAAATTGTCCCAAAACTGACAGACAAAATGGCCGCCGTTCGTTCTCAAATAGCGTAAAAATATGGTATATCAAGGTTGTGGACCCTATAGAGGTCACAATTTTTATCCGATTTTGTTGAAACTTGAAATGTAAGTTTATAACCCACAGATCTCGTTTCCTTTCGATATTCGCGCATATCGGACCGTAACTTCCTGAATTATGGCCCCTGATTGTACAAAAAATTGCGTTTTAGCTTGTGGACACTATAGAGGTCATAATTTTTATCTGATTTAAAAAAACGTATTATTATATCACCGTTACACCCTAAGGACGGCTGAGTTTGAATTTCGTGAAAATCGACCCAAAATTGACAGACAAAATGGCCACCCCTTGTTCTCAAATAGCATAAAAATATGGTATATCAAGGTTGTGGACCCTATAGAGGTCACAATTTTTATCCGATTTTGTTGAAACTTGTAATGTAAGTTCATAACCCAAAGATCGTGGTTCCTTTCGATATTCGCGCATTTTGGACTGTAACTTCCTGAATTATGGCCCCTGATTGTACGAAAAATCACGTTTTTAGCTTGTGGACCCTATAGAGGTCATAATTTTTATCGGATTTAAAAAAAACGTATTATTATATCACTGTTACACCCTAAGGACGACTGAGTTCGAATTTCGTGAAAATCGGCTCAAAACTGACAGGCAAAATGGCCGCCCTTCGTTCTCAAATAGCGTAAAAATATAGTATTTCAAGGTTGTGGACCCTAAAGAGGTCACAATTTTTTATCCGATTTTGTTGAAACTTAAAATATAAGTTTATAACCCAAAGATCTCGGTCCCTTTCGATGTTCGCGCATATCGGACTGTAACTTCCTGAATTATGGCCCCTGATTGTATGAAAAATCACCTTCTTTTTAGCTTGTTCTCTATCCATCTCTCGAAAATGTGGGCGTATCCTGCCTGGCAGCCACTGGTTATATTAAAAATAACAATTTGGCAACAAGACAAATATCGCTATAAATTATTATGATATGACTTGAAATAATGGTGGATTTGGGTAAGATTTGGGTACATCATGTTACCTGAAAAATAGGACATTCATTCCTTCATTTACGGTGGCTAAGTGAGTAAGACTCTGGCTTGCTAGTCTGGAGGTCGCGTGTTCGATCCCGGTGTTGCCCGGCGTTGTTTCCCCTTGTCAGTTGTGCATGACAGAGAGCCTGACAAGGACACTGTATGACGTATGCCTGTCTTCATTATCCCAGTCGGAGCAGACGATAGGACATTAAGCCCCATTTAAATCCATTCATTGTTTTCTGAACGCCCTGAATTTCATTTTATTGTGAGTTATTCGAGTTGAAAAGATCCCGGTCTGTATTAAATATACAACCTGCTACCGTAAACGATTTTTTTCACGGACGTTTCTTTGGACTGCAGCGAAGACATCACACTGATCCGCAGTGAATATTCACTTGGCCACTACAATCACTGATAAGGATGACATCGATGCGACTTAATGACTACAAAATATTAACTTTTTTCTTTCGACAAATTAAATTCTGAAACATTTTATTTTAGTATTAGAAAAATAAATAAAGGTGTTTGAAGTATATCTTGATAAAAAATATTCCATAATTAGCGTAAATAGGTACAGAAAATAGTACGCAGAGGCGTAATATGGGTAAAACGATATAATTCTGCCCGTACCAGTTCATATTACTACGTTCGATGTAAACAACGCACGTGTGACCATCAATTTGACGTTTTTTTCTGTTTGTTTACTCGGAATTCTTTCAGAAGTACATTTTTTACCGTCTAATCTGATTGACCTGCTCGTGTTTGTTTACAAGCCACAGAAGTAATCTTTTTTGGCGTTATCGATGCCATCTTGCTTTGTTGGTAAACATTGTGATGTGACGTCACCCTTAGAACTACAGCGGTCTGACCTTTTAAAGGCCAGTCATCTTGGACAGAGATAAAAGACGGATGTCGCATTAGGTCTGTAAAACAGATTGCGAAGACATCACACTGATCAGCTAGGCCACTACAAGACTTTTTGCAATACCCCTGTGAAAACAGATTCTGATCTGTTTTTATTAGAAACATTCAGTCAGAACAGCTTAACAAATAGACAACAGAAATTATTAACAAAATGATGGTGAGGTGATTTTGATTTAAACAAATCAACACGTATCGATTTTTATTTTAAAACAAAACAAAGAAAGATAGGTAATTATTTAATGAATAAAATGATTAATTAATTAATACTGGTACTCACTACTTTATTTGAAAATCGGCATGCTATTTTCTGGGTGGGCAATTGTGTTGATGATGTTATTAATTAGCTGCAATATTTGTGAGCCATGATAATTATCTTATTCAAGGCTACAATTAATACACTATTTGAGGCTTTGCGCACGTAAAATAGATTCAGCTGCAAAATTTTAAACACATATCATCACAGTTTGCATGGAAATAAGTAATTATGTTACAAATAGTGGAACACTGAAATCTTCATCTGAAGTTAAACCACATTTCTCTCTCCCTCCAGCTATAATTTTGCCCATCGGGTTTATAGAGGCAAGAATTAGGTCACAAGAAGTCGTCAGTTTCAGGAAATAACATTAATAAGCTTCCTTTCCCTCTGATCGATTTCAACTAGAAATATTTTTGTTATATAGCATGTGTTCTTGATATAGCATGTCATATTTAATTCCTGTATGTATTTAAGTTTATGTCTATAAGAGAGAGAGAGAGAAATGGGGTTTAACGTCCACTCGACACAGACTAGTTCATTTCGGGACTAATATATGGTTTAATTTTATTTCAATAGTGGGAGGAAACCGAAGGACCCGGAGAAAACCAACGAGGTTGGACAGGTAACCCTACTACTTGTTACGTACAACCAGGGATTCGAAACCACGCCAGTTGACTCAATGACAGACCTTATGAAACAGCGCAAATGTGCTAACCTTTTGGCCATCCAACCGCCCTTATGTAAATAATATCCCTACAAAATTACGTGTTATAGTTACACGATAGAATGAAAGCGACCAACCCGCACTCGCTTCAAATCCAAGTCAGTAATATTCCTCCAGTATTACATTTCTTCGTTTATAAGGCAGAAAATGAAAGCATAGATTGTGATGTCGAAATACCGTTCGTTTATAAGTCAGAAAATGAAAGCATAGTTCGTGATGTTGAAACATTTTTTTCTTTATAAAATGGTATTTTAGAATTACATCGGCGTAGCATCAACACCTGTATGTAATACAGATATGGTCACCATGTTGTTGTTATTTTCCCACGCATTTTGTTTTTTCCCTTCAGGACTAGTACGGCTAAATAGGTCACTAGCCTGTAAGTTATTTTTGGTAACGTTTGGCTAGTGGATTTTTATACCCCTGATTGATATATTATAGGAAACTAATAATGTCATAACTTTTATATGTTACAGGACACCAATGATGTTATAACTTTTATATATTACAGGATACTAATGATGTTATAACTTTTATAT